ATCAATTCCGGATGAATGAGAAATTCTAGTCCAAAGTTGGAAGGAAAAATCGTTTTTTTAGCACCTAAGACCGTCACTCGAGCGACAGCCTAGCGCCAGGGTTTCTACTTTTGGCGTTCGAGCGGCGGACCACAATAGGCAAGGGACAGCAAGGGCTGCGACCCTTGGTGAAAGTTGCTGAGTTTTAGGACGTGTCTCTCAATTCACAACCCCCTCATCTTCTATAAATTGGACCATTTGGACGTCATTTAGGCATCCATTTCATATTTTTGAGTCTTGTATAAAAAATTCTTGCCAAAACTCTCCCAAACTTTGAATTGAAAGACATTCTTCGTAGAAAGAAAATTTGTTCAAGTTCGTTGTTGCCTTGTAGTTGGAAGTGCTTCTACTACAAGTAAACTGTTATATCTTGTGAGACAATTGCCGTTACTCTGTTAGCACCATGGGTGTTATCACTTGCCTCATATCATTTTCTTCTTATTTTGATTCTACCATCTTTTTATTTGTGGTTTAACGTCGTTTGTGTTGTTAAACTTGTGCCAAATTATTGTCCACATACAAAATACTATATCCCCAACAGCCACGCCCACGGTAGGCAAGATAACTCCTGCCCACCGTGGGTAGGAGATCCTTCTCGTATCTTTATATCATTTATTAAATCTAACAATGGACCTATGGAGCGACGAAAAAGGATTCATGTAGCCAACTCCAAATTTATAGGAAACACGACTCTCTTTTCTGTCGTGATATCTAATTGCATCTTAAGTTGAGAAGTGGATTCTAAATATTTTTACCATATTCACGACCTTAATAATTTGAACATATTGAAAGAGGCATCATGAGGATTCAAGCATTCCTATGCAACTTACAGCGATGCAGGTTCTATCCAAGGCATGAGGGAAGGCTTCTCTAGTTACAGTGATATTGACTGTTCTCATTGCCATTTGATTCCTAACGAAGGGGTGACCCAGTAGTTGGGAAGCTGTTGGCCTCAAAGATGGTTCCCTTTTCAAGCACAGCCTTATGAAACTTTTTGCATCAGGCGATAGCTGATCAGGAATCTGCGGGATATCCTTGCTGTTTCCTATTTTGAATATTGCAGCAACCTGGCCAATTCAAGACCAGTAAAACTTATAAAATGTTATTGGAAAAACAATAAACAAAGAAAAGCAGGAGCAGAATTCCTCACACCTCTCTTGCACAAAAACAACCCCATTGATAAATCATTTATATAGCAGGAATTTAAGGGCAACCTGATACCTCGACTATGTATGCCCAATGTACCTTAGTATTAAAAAAATTTGAGGTCGAGTGATAAATGTGTAGTATATACAAACAATCAAATGCCAGCATCAACGATGCTGAATTTGGTAATGTAACTTAAAATGTCTACCCCTTCATATTGGCCCCATGGTGGTTTTGACGTTGCCATTTCGAGAACTGTGCATCCTAAGCTCCATATATCCACCGGAAAGCTATAACCATTTGTATTCGTTACAACCTGTGAAAGAAATACATATGCATATATACATCATTGTGAAACTCCGCCAACAAAAACTTATGAGTAAGAGTGAGAAAGACACCTCAGGTGCCATCCAATAAGGACTTCCTTTGAAAGATAGCATTGAAGGAGAGGAATTTATCTGCCAAATGGAAGCATTAAATTTATGAATTCAGTACAAATGATTTTGTTGGGTTTCAGAAAATCAGCTAGCGAATAAAAATTGCAATGTAAACTCCATGATAATATGTATATTCCTGTTTAGAGATAAATCGCACATCGAATAACGATAAAAATATAAACCAACATATAAAGGTTTGGGCTACTCCTCGTAATAAGATTGACCTTTTAAGATGAAATCTCAAATCTCTCATGGTGGCTCATTTGAGTAAACCAATCTTGAAATTTGCGTGCTCATTGTTTTGAGTTCTGTTGAAACTTAATGGGTTCTGATACTATATTAAAGATACACTTCTTAATAAGGTTGATCTTTTAAGATGGAACTCCTCGAAAAACCATATTTGACCCTAAACCAAGACAATATATACATCATTTTCCATGTAACATAAAAGAGATTGTCTTTCATTCCAATGACACAAGGACCATATATATTCGCCATTATCAAAAAGAATATTTACCAAAAAGGTAGCTGATACATACAGGTTTTGCCATGCCGAAATCAGCAAGTTTGATTTCACCATTGGTACCTACTAATATGTTTGCCCCTTTGATATCTCTGCAGATGTGATAGTTTTGCATGAGTTCTGGAATTTCACATGATGATTAAAAGTGACTACAAGAGTAACAAAATATCACCTGTGGATTGTATTTTTTCCATGCAAGTAAGCGAGTCCCAAGAGAATTTGCCCCGTGTAATTTTGTATGACAGGCTCAGCAAACGGCCCGTATTCTTGCAGTAATTTTTGGATGGAACCCCCCGAAACGTACTCTAAGTAAACAGATAGTGTTTCTTCACTCTGCATAACAGTAAACTAGAGATAATGCTGTAGTATGATAACTACAAGGATATGCTTGAAAGACAGGATATTCCTTTATACTTTCTCGTACTGTACAGC